AGATGGTGCCACCAAACGTGAGCCTTGGAAGACAACCACCGAACGTGGAGAAGAAGAGAGGCAAGGGCTTGAGGAAGCAAGGAAGCAGACATTTCGGCGCTCAAGTGAACATCGCAGTCACTTCGGCTGACTGCCCTAGCTCGTTTGCGAGAAGAGAGAAGGCGAGAGAGGCGCGGGTCTCCTGAGATCAATCGCAGAGCTCCGTGGGAAAAGATCGAAAGGGCAGGGGGTAAAACGCTGTAAAGGAACGCCGACCGCGGGGTCGATTCCGCGGCCGTGATCCTTTAATAAATCTCGTCGCGCGTTGGCGGATCGCCGAGCCAACATGCGAAACAAACAGGTGCCTGGCATTTTCAAAACGCGAACGCATAAATAATCCACCCCAAACAGACCCTCAATCTTTGATTATTTCATTGAGTTTGTTTTAGCTCACTCTGTGTTGTTGACTTAAGTAAATATGTGCATTTTGCTTTAATATAGACTTACGTGAATAATGCTTGCAAAAGAGGGCTATAAAAGCCATAGCAAAAAAAAACCAAAAAGAGAGCTACAAGGAATTAGCCCTACAGAAAGACCCATCCCTTTCAATAAAAAACAACAAAGGATGACAATCAAGTAAAATTTTAATAAAAAAGTTATCCTGTAAAACAAAATGTGCACAAAAATGAGTTGTCTCGTTGTTTGATCTAGGAGTGAAAGAAAACAGCACCTGTTTAAAAAAAGTAATGAAATCAAACTCTTAGAAATTTTGCGGCCACTCCTTCCAATCCTTCAAGGAGGTGGATCCCTGTAAAAAAGATAACACATTGGCATTATCACTTTCAATGATAATGTCGTTGAACTCATACATCCAAGGTTCAAGAAATTGATCCAAAGAAGTGATGGCCAAAAATTCGACCCGAGCACAATCCCAATGTTCTACAACAATGTCAGCTGTCATAATAAAGTCCTCATTACCACCCTACACCACCACCTCCTCACCACACCAACACATCCACACACCACCACCTCCACACCACACAGCCACCCAGCACCACCAAACCACCACGCCCAAACCACACACCAACACATACACAAAACACACCACCACCTCCTCATCACACCACCACCTCCACACCACACCAACACATCCACACACCACCACCTCCACACCGCACAACCACGACACCGCGACACCACAACATCCACACCAACATAACCACACACCACACCACACAAGAACACATTCACAAACCACACCACCACATCCTCATCACACAACCACCCGATACTACCACCTCCACACCACACCAATTCTCTTACACCATCGCCACCACTTGAATTGATAATAGCAATATGAAAATCTAGCACCAAATACCCATTATTTCAGTGGTATGCCGATCTAGCATGGAATTCCAGTGAATTGCGCACTGGAATTATCACTGAAAATAGAAATATACATCCAGTTTCCCACTAAAATTCCATTGAAATTGAAAATAGCAACATACAAATCCAGCATGAAATTCCTACTTAAATTCAAAATTCATGTTTCCAGCCCATATTCAACTCATACACAGCATCTGAAATATTGTTATTAACAAATTCAGCACCGAATTTCATCCATGTTTTAAATTTCCCACTGAAATATCCAAGTTTATAAAGAAATCCAAATTCTCCATGGCATAAGAACCAACAGAAATCGAACAAGCCACATACAGGGCATTTGAAGCATTGCTAACAGAACAAGCACCAAAAAAATTCAAAGATCACTGCAGAGCTAGGATACATCCAACAATGCGTGAATGGTATAAACCAAAACCTTTATGGATGCAACATGAAGCATCAAAACTACATAACCAAGCATATCAAACAGAAAACAACCAAAACCGAGCAAACAAAGATGAAACCAACCAACATAATGCACACGACCACACAGAGAAGAAAGAAAAGAGGTTAAGTAGAGAGAAGACAGTTTTTTCTTTTTTAATAAGAGTTGAATATATCAATTGAGCTATATTGATACTCAATTTAATCTTTTAAAAACCTAATTTAGAAAGTTACTCAAGGTTTACTTTAATATTATGGAATACATAAAACTTAAGTTTTACTACAATGATTCTATATCATATATAATCACCTGTTTACAAAGTTATAACAGAGAAGAGAGCAGAGAGAAAAGAGATTAAGAATTGAGAGGAGAGATAGAAGAGGGAACACCGCACAGAGCCGGTCATGCACAGAACCACCAAACCGAGCCGAAGAAGAGAAGGGAGGGGGGAAGAGAGTACAACCTCAATGCAATAACTACCAACCGAAGAAAGTGATCTACCAAATCAAAGAACCTCCTCCACCATCACAGAGCACAAAGTGAACAAACCACCAAAATTCAAGCGGAAGGAAAAAGGGGAGAAGGAGAAAAATATAAGGGTCACCGGAACAAGCACTCGCAACGGAAAATAGCCAACCGTAAATAGCACATAGCCACCGGAGCCACGGATCCACGGGAGAGAGATAACTAAAGCAAAGGAATCGCGCAAGAGGGAGCGGGGAAGAGAGAGATGAAAAGAATGGTCGCGGGGTAATTGAACATGCCGTCAAGACAAAAGAAATGCCCCTGCAACTGCGGTTTAACGAATTATTTTAAAAATGCCGTCACGATGCGAAAACAAATGCCACAAATCGTGGTTTGTTGTCGCACCTCGTGAATTCAGTCGCACCAAACAGACCCTTAGTGTTCCCCCACTAATACCATAAATGGGTGGCTTTATCATAGTCATTTATGAAAATATAAACAGTCAACGTAAACATATCATTCATGTGCTCATCGCATTCAATTCAACATGCTATATATAACATATACCAATGCAGGATAGTAAGTAGCTACAAACATTCATTATAATGTGATCACAAAATGAAAGAATATCTCAATCAAAATGAAGCTTGTGTAAATGTCATTAACTGTAAGATGGTTAAGAAAAAATAAAATATTACTATAGGTTAAAAGTAATAGTGCTCACATCAATCACTGATGATTCTGGACGTTAACTTTATTTATCTTCAATGGAAAACCTAAAGTTGAATGCATAAATAATTATTATTAATTTATTATATGTTAATCTTATTATTAGAGATCAATTTTTCTTTATTTGTTCCTTTGATGTACCATATAAAATTAACTATTTTATTATTATTATTATCTTAATTGTTATCCTCATTTAATTATTTCTTTTAAACAAGTTAAGCTTAATAAAATATTGGCAATAAAGAATGTTCTCCTAATTTAACTTTCTAATTAATTATGTAATTTGCATCATTCCTATTAGGCTTATAAATATGCATACATTTATAAAATAACTAAAACTTCAAAAAAATCAAAACCCTAACCGTACTTACTATGAAACTTCTTTAACTTAAAACCTGATTTAATTACATTGTATAAAAAAAAATTAATAATTTATAATATAACAAATCATAAACATCGCTAATACCTCACAGTTCGGTTTCCTCCCCCTTCCCGCATGCATGCACTTCTCCTTCGACTCATCGCTCGGGATCGAGCAACTATTGTGTGACAAGGATCACCTCCATACTCGCCTCTTCCTCAGTGTGTTGTGCAAGAGAGCTCCCTCTCTATCGAGCTGCAATGCTCAACACCTTCGACTCCTTCGATCATGGATCGACACTGCAACACAACACTCAGAGCCTCCGTCCCCCACTTCTTCCCCTCTGCTCGACAGAGAAGTCGTCCGTCAATGTTGTCACCTGTAGCTATCAGGATGCTCTAATTTGGGCTTGACATCTCTTGCACTCACCGCTTGACTCACTTGATAAGTTTCTTCCTTCCTCATATAACAAGTTATAAGCAAACTCACCACCTTGTCTTCCAACCCCCGTGCTTCCTCTCCTCTTTGTTCAACTGCCCGACTCCTCACCTTCGATTCTTCGTTTCCCCTCCCACCAGGTAACTGAAACTGAACATCAAAATAGCGTCAAGGCTTAATCTCCACCAAAATAATTGTTCTCTGGGATGCCTTTCGAATATTTTTAACCAAAAAAAAATTGTTATGTGGAGTTTGAAAATGGCATCATAAGCCAAAGCAATGACAATTTTACCGGCAAAGGCTAAGACGAGCTCTGCTTGATCATTCGGAGGGAGTGTGTTGATCAGAATGGCTGATATGTGTTGGCATAGCTCTAGCCCAAAACATTTCTAGAGTTTTTCGGGGTCCTAAGAGAACCCAATCAAAAAAAAATTAACCGGACTCCCCTCGGCGTCATGAATGTTAATAAATGAAGGCCAATTGTGAAATGGTAAAGAGTGTTAGGGCGGGTGGCCAGGTGTGACGTGTACAGCTTTTGTTATATATAGTTTTGGAGGTTGCATAAACATTTAGTTGCTTACTTTTATTATGTTGGATTTAGCAGATCTGTATATATATTTTGGTGATATAATTTTTCTACACTTCAGAATATATGTAAATGTAAATGAATTATGAAATGAAATATATTATATATGTTTGTGGTGACTTAGTTAGACTAATTCATGTCCATTGGATCCTGATTATGCATGTCAGGACGAGTGTTGATAAAAATTTAGTCTGACCGAATCGTGTGTGTTAGCCAAATAAAACACGCCTCTGTTATTTCCCGTGTCAACTAGTAGAGGGGGTCATTGACAGTGTCCTTGAACTACTCAGGAAAACGTTTGAACTAAGATGGCACAGAATCTAGTCTGTGAAGCTTAAAGAAAAATTATTCAACATTAAAAATGGAGAATTGGGTAGACTGAAAAAAGTAACAGGGAGTCTCACAGAATTATTATTCGTAAAGTTATTATCACCACTATTGCTGTAACATGGAGTCTTACAAAATAATTATTCATAATGACATCCTCACAAATATTGCTGTTTTGTGTTGAACTGAACCTCTAGCACAAGATAGAGTAAATAACCATGTGGTGCCCTCAGATTAAGTGTCAAGATGTACTTGAAATAATGAAATATGAAACATGAATAACTTACTTCAGCGTCCTCAAATGTGGACATATAACCAAAGGAGATCCTAACAGCACCCGTTGGTTTTCCATTTAACACGTCAGCATCATCCCAACAAACATGTCCATCCTAAAAATGTTAAGAAGGAAACAAAGAAAGAAGCAACTAAATATTCTAGCTAATATATGTGAAGTTTAAACAAGAAAGAAAGTAGAAAGCAAATATGATAGATAATATGCATAAAGTTTAATCTGTAGTGAACAGCCTTTTCAATTATCGTTAAAACTGATACCCTTCTGAGGTAATTTACAGAATTGCAAGAAAATAAGTTATGAAAAAGCTTAAAATATTCATCAAATAAATAAAAAAAACGTACCTCAAGGTTGGAAAGAAGATCTAAATGAGATAAACCGAGGAACTTAGCGCATGCACCAGGGTTGCAAAAGCAGCCTGTCTACAGTCAATAGGCAATTTAAAAGTGATTTTAGGAAGAGAATAAAAAGGATTAAAAAAAAACAAATAATGAAATTCACATACAATTTTCAGCCTTATTAATTCTAATCTTTTTGAAACGATACAACATTCATACTCACCTCGCCATTGACAAAAAAATTCCCTGATCTCAGCCCCAAGGCTTGAACAGGTTCAGTTTCCCCATAAGGGCTTATCTACCTTATTTAGAATTTTATTAGGGTTGCTAGCTTTATTTAAACACGTTGTGCAAAACCAGATTTTGGAACTTTTGCTTGCTTTATGCATTTTTCTATCTCTTCTCTCCACTTGGAGTGATTTACTATCTTCTCTTTCATGTGGTGTGACATTAACTTGATCAAAAACAGGATATGGATCTTCACCGACTTCCGAATGCCTTCAAACCCTTGCCTATTCTTCCCCTTTGTTTTCACTCCAAATGAACCGTTGTAACATTCCAAATCCTCCCCATACTTCTTCATTTCAATTATTTAATCATCTATTCTCACCCTACAACCTTCCTAGTTTATCCATTGAAATACCTAGTGATTCTCAAAGTACAACCTTCCTAGTCCTTCCCTTAATCCTTACACACTATCTAGAAACTCTAGGATGATGGCATTTCGTACTAGAGCCAAATCATAATCTCAATTTCCAACACTAAACTTAAATCTCTTTTTAGATCCAATGTTTATATTCCTAACTCGGAATTTACAAAACATATTTGTTCTACATCCACCAAAAGCCATCTCTACGCCCTCCAACTAAACTTAAACTTTCAAATAAACTTAAATTCACCAACATACATTAGCTGAAACCCTAAAGTGAGAAGCAAATCATCATGCTGCCAAGACGAAACATTCAAAAAAGTGTCCAAAAGCTGATCATAGAAAATATGCAGCAAGAAACCCTCCAACTACAGCATAAACCTACTGATGTTGCACGAAGACAACATAGGAAAGTCACTCATAGCTACAATAGTGTACAACTAGATCAACAATATGAAAAAAAATATCGTTACGAAGTGCCTTGAGAGAGGACGAGCCGATTTGGCATTAAGGATAGGAGAGAAAAGAGTGAATTCAGATGATTTTAGGCTCCAAGTTTTAGAATGAATCTTTGATAATAAGAACATTCTACCTACCATTAAGGTAAAGCAAGATGTCATTAAATTAAAGAAGGGTATGTCTGTTCTAGGACAAATTGAAACGACGGTACCAGCGTGAAAGAAAAAGTGAGATCACGACCTAGTATAAGATGAAGAAAATGCAATGCAAGTATCTCCTAAAACACTATAGGCAGAAAATCATTTTAAAACTTAAACATTCACATCAAAAAAACTTCTCAATAAAGGAATACATCATTGAATTTGAACAACTTATGTTGGATTTTGAATTGGTGAAATTAGAGAAGAACATATCTCAATATCTTCGAAGATTGAGATCATTTATTAGTAACTTGAAACAACTACAACCCTACTAAATATTACAAAATGTACATATCTTAGCCCCGGTGAAAATGGTACATAACACTATCATATCCGCTCCATCTTGAAAACAAGATTTGGCCATCAATCAAATTGTCAAAACCTACCTCACGTGAGAAGTCACCAGAAAAAGAAGCAAAGAATGATTGGATAAATACCCCTAAGACTTTTCTAGCCAGGGAATGTCACAATTGTCATGCATATGAACATATTACAACTAGTGCACAAATATCACTAAGCAAGGTGCAATGAATGAAGCAGATAGTGGAGACTAAAGAGATGAGGACAATGGGAATGAATATCAGCTTCCCTCAAATGAAGGTAAGATGTTAGTAATTTGCATGAGTTTTTATAGGTCGGACCTTTGAATGAGCAACAGTGGATTTAGCATAACATCTTACATACTCATTGTACTTTAAAGGGGAAGTTGTGCAGCCTCAATATTAATGAAGGCAATTATGATGATGTGGTCTCTACCCAAATAGTGAACAAATTCAGCCTCACTACCCAAAATCATTCTCAGCTATCATCTTTGATTTGAAAGAAGGAAATTAGAACAGTGTTGACAATAGATGTTCGGTAGAATCTTTCATTGGAGATAAACTGCATGATTATATATGGTGTGATATTGTGTCTATGGAGACATATCACATTCTATTAAGTCAACCATGACAATATAATGGAGGCATGATTCATGATGGCCATGAGAAAATATAATCTTTCATCAAAACTGGAAAACACATGAAATTCTGACATTGAAGAAATTAGCATTCATGAGTACTAAAAAAAAGATGGGACCTCTAACTCCACACGCCACATCTATACAGCAAAAAGGAAGGTGCCAAAGTGATTGGTTTTAGTGATGTTGGAAACCAGTGAAATAGAGGAGCCAACACATGAGGCATTGTAGTCTTTATTGGAGTTCCAAAATATTCTGACTAATAGCTTGACATCTAGATTCCACCCTTACATGAGATTCACCATGTCATAGACCTCATCCAAGATTAGTGCTTGCCAAACAACTAGCCTATTGGATGCGACCAAAAGAGAATTATAATAGCATGATGAGAATTTGATAGCCAGAAAATTGGTTCATGAGAATACCAAAATAGTTGCATAAAACTAACATATTTTCCAAGATTGGCATGCTTAATGGTTACCATTAAGTTCAAATGAGACTTAAAAATGAATGGAAGATCGTCTTTAAGCCATGAGATGGAATGTATGAGTGGATGGTCATACCTTTCAGCCTGCCAAACATACCAAGCAATTTTTTGGGACTGATGAACAAAAATTTTTTAAACTTTCTCTAAAAAATTTGTCATATACATCAATAACATTTTGATTTACAATCATATAGAGGAGTATTTCCAACAACTGCAACATATTTTTTGAGTTCTTCAAACCAGGCAATTGCATGATCATTCAAAAAAATGTCACTTTTAACATCAGAGACATGCTTAGATATATCGTTGCAATGATTGGTATTGAAAAAGACGTCTCTGTTGACCTCATTTTTAGTGAGGTCTTAGTTTCCTACACTTAGAACCTAGGATCTAGCTTTAGGAGTTCTTATTGACCATCCTAGCGGACTAGCAATGGAGCCCACCTACCGTAGAACTTCAAGCCACTTATTGACTCATTTTTGTGAAGAACTCGCATGAGTGGTTACAAGCAATCAACTTCTAGTTGCAAGGGCTAAGTACCAACATGTAGAGGGCCTGAAAATGAGTTCCTATAGGATCAAACAGCCTTAGGCGAACCCTTTGTGACTCGATTACTCGTGAACTCCGCAATTCACGCACTCACTGCACCACACACGACTTTGACTTGATTTGACTTGCCAACCGGTGAGTTTGTCCGGATGACCCCGGATGACAAAACGGACCACGCTGACACGTCCGGAACGTCAACTTTAGCTAGAAAGGACACCCATATTGCAAGTTTTACGCGCACGCACATATGGCACGGAAATTGATGCACATTCTATTAGCGGGACGCGGGCCCGGGCTCAACTCATGTTCAACTCGGGTTTGATTCGAGCTGAACTTGGGCTGATCAAGGGTTAAACATTTTGAATTTTAAATTTTTGAATTTCAAATGTGACATTTAATCTCTATCTTAATGGAGAGTTAGGATTTTCCATTTGAGGGGCTGCGTGAATGGAAACAAATTAATTCCCCGCCAATCCTTTAGGTAACGACTCGCTCTAAATTTTGGATATACTAATTTGCTTCTTCTTCTCGACAGAGCAGGCCGGATTTAAAAACATCTCTTCTACTCGCGCTCGTCTCTCCTTCCTCCGCCGGCATCGCTCGACTCCCTACACCGAAGCCCTCGCCCATCTGCACTAGTCCCGCTCGCCAGCTCCCCTACTCCCGCACGCCTACTCAACCGAAGCCATTCGACTACATCTTCCTCTCTCAATCCCGACCCACTCTCTCGTGCTCCCTCTGCTCGATCCCGTCTCCCACACCGAAGGAGCCGCAGACCCCGCTCGATGCCTCGCCTGCTCGCCTCTTCCCTGCATCGAAGAAGCTAGATCCTGATTCCTGCACTCGCCTGCTCGCCTCTTCCCTGCGTCGAAGAAGCTCGATCCCGATCTCCCGCACCGAAGAAACTCTGCTCCTTCCCTGTAGACCCCGCTTGCTTCTCCTCCCCCGATCGAAAAAAGTTCAAAAAAGCTCTGCTCGCCTCCCTCACTCGCGTACTTCTCCTCCTTGTTCCGAAGTCTGCTCGCACAGGAAACCCCTCGCTTCTTCCTTGTGCGACGGAAGCTTCCTCCGCTGTCCTGCTCCTCTGTGAATCGATCGCAGCTCCCGATAGAAGCTCCCGCTCGCTTCTCCTCTGTGCGACGGGACTAGTGCTCAACCGAACTCCCTCATTTCTCAGCGTCGAAGCCTCGCTCATCTCTCGTCCGCGTCAAAGTCGCTCGCCTCACTCGGCTGACCCTCCCTCGCCCGCATTGGAGGTAGGAGGAAGACAGAACTTCCCAGAGCTTCTGAAAAGCTTTGGAGTGCAGAACTTTAGCAATTGCAATAACTTGGTAACAAATTCTTGTTTTGTTCCTATACTGCTCATTTTATTTATACAATGTCATCTAGGAGTTAGGAAGATTTGCATATACATCCACTTAATTCATGTGTTTTTACGTCTCTATTACCTCAAACTTTCACATGAGTATGCATAACACAAATATTTTATGTTGCAACAAGATAATGCATTTACCTATTTTTTACAATACACATAAGCTTCAGAATTTGTACGTCTACTTGCTGAATTGGAAGTTTCGGAATGACATAGATGATATTTTGAGTCTTATAAACTTGCAGTCTTAGAAAAATAAAATGATATTTTGTTTGTCCTGTATTTCTGCTGTTGGGAAGAGTTAAATATTGTCGTATTCGAGTCATATTGTTGCTACTTGGAAGCACTGAATAGCATTGTTTTGGCTCTTCGATTTCACTGTTTTGGAGTTTCAACAAGTGTTGTTTCGG